ACATTACTCAACCTCCTGAGGCTCAATTTCCTCACCTACAAAATAGGAATAATAAAACTCAGATTACCTCACACCTGTCAGAATGGATAAAATTAACAACACAAGAAACAACAGGTGTTGGCAAGGATGTGGAGAAAAAGCAACCCTGTTGCACTGTTGGTGGGAATGCAAACTGGTTGCAGCCACTGTGGAAAACAGTAAGGAGGTTCCTCATAAAGTTAAAAACAGAACTACCTTACCATCCAGCAATCACACTATGGGTATTACCCAAACAATACAAAAACACTAATACAAAGGGATTCATGCCCCCCAGCAGCATTATTTACAATACCCAAGATACGGAAACAGCCCAAGGGTCCACTGATTGATGAATGGATAAAATAAGATGTGGTATGTATATATAATGAAATATCATTTAGACAGAAGAAAGAGGAGAGGGGTGGAGGGTTGGGTTAAATAGGTGAAGGGGATTAGGGGGTGCATTTGTTGTGATGAGCAATGGGTGATGTATGGAATTACTGAATCACTGTACTGTACACCTGAAACCAATAAAACACTATAAAAAATAAAATAAATAAATGATATAAAATATAAAATGATATAAATAAAAAATAAATGATAAAAAAATAATAAACTTACAAGATATGGAAAAAACCTAAAACAAATGAATGTAAAATGCCTAGAATAATGCTTGATACAAAGTACACACTCTATGAATCACAGGAACGATCCATAAAGAGGCACCTGGGTGGCTCAGTTAGTTGAGCATCCAACTCTTGGTTTTGGCTAAGGTCTGATCTCCGGGTCCTGAGACTGAGCCCCGTGTTGGGCTCCGCGTTCTGCCCGGAGTTGCTTTGCTTGAGTTTCTCTCTCCTTCTCTCCCATCCCTCTTCCCCACACTCCTACCTCCCTCCCTCCCTCCCTCTCTCACAAATAAATAAATCTTTAAAAAAGAAAATTAAAAAGAACTATCCATAAAACTACTGGTTTCCACTTGCTGACACCATGGTACCATATACTTAATCAGAGACAGAGGGATAGTTAGCCTGCTCCAGATAAGTACTGGCTGAAACAGAGCAGCTTTCCAAGCTTTGGTCATCGTCTCTCATAAAATCTGACTACAGCTCCTGCTCTTTGGTTCCATGAAGTTTACCCACTACCATTCCACTGATACTTGTACACAAAAATCAATGCTGTTATGCCCACCAATAACTCTGAAGTAATACCGATCCAGCAAAATAAAAATTAAAGTGGCATTTTCACTCCCTTGCTTAAAACCAACAGCTTAGAATAATATGGTACTGCTTATCTTGCCCAAAGAAATAAAAGCACATCAGGTTTATAATTTCCTCTATTTATAAACTTTTGTATGGGGATGTGGGGGGGAGGCATCTATGCCTTTCATTTATTACCTAAACATTCATTCCTTTTTCAGATTTTTTTTTTTCAGATCCTACTCTGTGCTAGGTACTCATCAAACACCAGGTAAATGCTCCACAAAATAGACATGCTTTGCCTTCACTGAGTTTACCAGGCTAGTGAAGGATGCAGATCAGCAAACAGCATTTTCCATCATATTTTAGGCAACAGTAAATTAAGATTTTCTAGCTTTCTCAGCTTTTACAAAAATTGACAGCTCTGCAGAAAAGCTTAAAGCCAACTGGCTTTTCCTTTGAAACACCTGAAATACACCTAAATCAGCCTAGTACTAAGAAGTATCTCATCAATACTTCTTTTTGTCTCCATCTGCTTGTCAAGTTCTTTACCAAAATAATCGTCAAATAACAATCGATAGCACTTTCCATTTGACTTTACTTTCATTAACATTTTTAAGAGCTCAATGAATAGAGTAACTACAGCATTAACCAAAATGACTTGATTAACAATTAATTATGTGTAGATTTACATTAAAATTATAGAAGACACCTCTGGTATTAAAAATACGTGCGTAGGGGCGCCTGGGTGGCTCAGTTGTTGAGCATCTGCCTTTGGCTCAGGTCGTGATCTCAGGGTCCTGGGATCAAGCCCCACATCGGGCTCCCTGCTCGGCGGGAAGCCTGCTTCTCCCTCTCCCACTCCCCCTGCTTGTGTTCCCTCTCTCGCTGTCTCTCTCTGCCAAATAAATAAAATCTTTAAAAAAAAAAAAAAAATACGTGCATAAATTCTTCACAGACTCCATATACCATAATATCAAACATATGATAGTCATTCAAACTAATTTGATATGCCTAAAGTACGTTCATCTGTAGCATTTTAATAAAACTAAAGATATAATCTGTGGCCAAATTTTTCTGGTGCCTTACTGTTACTCTTGCATTATGTATAATCTATTAGGTTCGTTTTATTTTGGTAGCCAACAGTACAAATTAAAAAGAAAAAGAAAATGTAAACCGCTTCTATTTGTGGTTAAGAACAAAGTGGACAAGACAGAATATGGATGCACCAACCACCAAAGAAAACAGAAAAGCAATGAGACTATGGGATATTCAAAGGTCATAAAACAAGGTATTCTCCTTTACAAAACTTAAAAAAAAAACAAAACAGTAGCAGTCCCCCCCACCTTGATGCAACATAAGAGTTTAAACATAGAATGCACTAACTATCCAATTACAGTCGTCCCCACTCATCTGCAGCTTTGCTTTCTGCGATTTCAGTTACCCATGGTCAGCCTAAGTCAGGAAGGAGATGATCCTCCTTCTAACTCATCATCAAGTCAATAGTAGCCTAATGTCACAGTCTCTATCATTCATCTCACTTAATCTCATCATGTAGGCATTTTACCATCTGATATCATCACCAGGGTGAGTACAGTATATTAAGATACTATGAGAGAGACCACATTCACATGACTTACTACAATATACTGTTGTAATTGTTCTATTACTAATTATTGCTGTTAATCTCTTACTGTGCCTAATTTATATGTTAAATTTACCAGAAGTATGTATGTATAGGAAAATGCATAGTATATACAAGGTTCAGTACTATCTGCATTTGCAGGCATCCAGGGGTCTTAGAATGCCCCCCCACCTGTGAATAAGGGGCACTACTGTAATAATAAAAAGATAAAATTTATGAGGAACAATGATTAACATTAATCTATCACTTACTATGATCTAAAGCACTGTTCTAAGGGCTTTATAACTAATTTAATCTTCACAATCACCTTATTACTACTCCCATTTTTATAAAGCAGAAGGAGATTAAGTAATTTGTCCAATGTCACAAAGCTGTTAAGTGATAGAACCAAGATTCAAACCTAAACAATCTGGTCACAAAGCTCACTGATTTAACTATTTGGTTCTTCTGCCAAAGACAGGAGGATATGTTCTTCAGGCTAAAATTTCAACCCCAATCAAAAAAAAAAAAAAAAAACTCATGATGTCTCATTACACAGGTTCCAAGCTCTAATCCTTGGTGTCTATGAGTGTATGAGTGGAGAAGGGGAGGGTCATTACTACAGAATTAACAGAGGCTGAGGAGAGGGGAAAACATGTTTTTTCACTGATTTATAGAGTAACTGTTTAATTGATGGATACACTAATCTTAAGGTAAAGATTTATTTGTCCATCAACTGTCAACCTCATTTTTCCATGGCTCTTAAATTGCTTAATGCCAATACAACTATTAAGTGGAAATGGGAACCAAAACTCCATGCCAATAGAAGACTGCCACTTAGGTGATTCAGAAAATGCTTATGTGTTTTAAGGTTCTAACAAAAAATGTTTTAAATACAATATTTAAATTTGCTGAAGGAGAACTCACAGCCTCAAAATATCTTTAAACTCAGCTGACAAGAACAGGTTATAGTAAGATTTAAAGATAACTGGTATTATTGGGGACGCCCCCTCCCCACGCACACCCAATTTTGCAGCTACAAAGTCATTATTTGTCTGCAAGGTGAGAAAATGACTGCAATCCAGTCAGGTGGTGGGACAGTGTAAATGAAATGAGGTGGAAGGTCAGAAAAGAAGCACATCAGAATGAAGTCAGAATACTTTGTAGACCTGGTGTTTGTTCCATAAACTCCACAAAGTGACTCAACGCACACACTCCAACGTAAGCTGACTATGCATCTATTACTTGATAGCCCTTTCAAGGCAATGTATTAAAAAAATAATACCCTCCGGGACAGTATGTTTAATATTTGGCAATCAAATCTAGGTTTTTCTTCTTTTAAATCGAAGTATAATTCTTATACAGTGTTACATTAGTTTCAGGGGTGAATGGACCTAGAGGGTATTTGCTAAGTGAAATGAGTCAAAGATAAATACCATGTGATTTCATTTATATGTGGAATTTTTTTTAAAAGGTTATTTTTTTTTTTAAATCAAACACTGTTTCACACAGATACACATTCTAAAATATCCCGCCTAACAGTATCATTGGATAACAGGAAACTAGGCAAATAAACCCTTCCTAAAAACAGTATTTAAAGTAGATAGGTATTTATTAATTAAACTAGAAGAACAATAAGTGGCAGAAGAAATAAAGAGAAAACAGGAACAATATAAACTGTCTAATAAACTTACAATCGACACAAAATGTTAGTGAAATCCAAGATGAGTATCATATGGCTAGTTATAGCTTTTTTTTTTTCTGTTTAACAGCTCTCCCGGTTATCTGACACACACAGCTAAAGCTATTCATTTGATCACTTTCATTTAAATCTCATCAACAGAAACATTTTAGATTTTTAAAACTTTTAATGACATACCTTCATATATACATTATAGTGTGACTAGTTTCCAAATTGGCAGCTTCTCAACTGTAAATACCAAAATAAGTTAACATGATGGACTGAGTGATACCTTAGTTGGCTAAAACTCATGATAATCAACAAGAAAAAAATCATGACACCTTAAAAAAGTTCAAAAGTTTCAGATATGAATTAATGTATAGTGCTTTATGCACAGAAGATCTGGATATTTTATTATTAGAATGCAAAAGTATAAGTAAATTATTCACATCAAGACTTGCCCCCAAGTTCAAGGACTTACCTTCTTTTTATCCCTCATCGAGCCTTTGCCTCGGACCATTATTTTACATCCTGTTTCTGCTTCAAGTTGTTTAGCAGTAAGTCCTCTAGGTCCAAGGATTCTCCCAACAAAATTAAACTGGGGGGAAAAAAAAAGTCACTATATATTATTCACTTGCTTGAATTCATAGCTCTTAAAATTATTTTAAAATGTATTTTTACTTTGTCAAGTTAAATATTTTTTAATAAATCTTAGAGTACTTAGGAATTTCTAGCCCAGTTTGATGGTGTAATTACAAAAGCTCACTGTTCAGCATAGAAGTTTTATATGTATTAACACAAATTATGAATTAGAACAACACTATCTACATAAAACAGGTACTATACTGAACTGCCCATCAACATGTAATCTAAACCAGAATAAACCAGTATATTAAAGCTTGACAAAATCTTAGATGCCACCCAATACAAATCCCTTCTACAAAACTCTGTAACGTCAGCGTACAGAGAATTGTTCATTATGTTAAACAGTAATTGCATTTTTTTACAGAGATCCTTGGGAAAAATTCCTGTCTCATTTATCTAACAAGAAAATACTTTCTCCAAAGCAACTATTCAGAGAGAATTGTAGTTTTTTGTTGGCTTCCATAACACCAATGGCCAAATCTGGATTCCACCCTATACTATTTCAGTCTTAAGAGCATATTATTTTTTGCACAATTTTATGTCTGTACCTTAGTTTTCTTCCTTTTTTTTCCATTTCTAACTTTAACTTATACCACTAGCTTTGCAAGGAGCCTTAATTCTTTCCACGAGTAGGACAGCAATAAAAATAATTGTATAAGTAACTGCCATCCCTCAGTAGAAGCTTCTAGTACAAAAGCCAACAGGAAGCACAGACTGACTCTGAATACCTAAAAGTAAAATTTCCTCATTCACAGGTCAACTGCACAAAAGACAAAAAAAATGAGCATTTACCATCAATTCCACAAAAAGCCATGGTGGTTTTTATTTATTCAAATAGGTACCGATTCATGTATTTATAGCTTCCTACCTTTTTCTTGCAATTGATCCTACTACTAGCATATCATTACATAAAAGTAATATGCTAGCATTCACTGCTTTAAGGGCTTAAGAAGCTAAGGCATTTCTCCAATCTTCTGTACTCCCAACAGCTTTTTACTTTCCCTCACTAAGCTGCTCACAGTATTTCCACATCTTACAAGTGATAGGCAAATCAAAGATGGATAATACACATGCCTAGCTGGGAGAAAGCACCCTTCCCTCAGGGGCTTTGTCCACCCCAAAACTCACAGACTGATCCTATAAGCACTTGATCTAGCTCTACAAGATCCCCAATTCTGAAATTTGCCTTTCCATTCAAATAAAACTGGTAAGAACAGATACTACACTTGATCTTAGCCAAAAGGCCAAGATAGAGCCCCTTATCCTTGCCTCGTTCCTTGGCATATAGTATTTTTCTACTTCTTTAATCAACCTAAATCCCTGCCATCATCCATGTTAACAATGCACTTGCTTCCAACCCAGAATCCCTTTTCTACATCTCCAATTTGAATAAATTCAAGAACTATACTATTATTAAGTGTTTAAAAAACTCTTAAAGCACACAGATCCCAACTGGTATCCAAGCTCCAATATTGAATAATAATGAGGAATGTGAAAGTCACATCAAAATAAGCCTCAATTATACAATGGAGATGATACCATCTGGCGGCGCTGTACTAAAGAGTGTATATGTGTACAGCACAATACATATAAAAGGTTCAATACAAGGTCTGGCACATATAGTGGATAATTAATACCCTACCAAGTCCACTACAAATTCACTTTAGGAAACCTCAGGCCTTCGATCAAATATCCAGCTTAGAATATCCATATAAAGGGATATGGTCCATAGCAAATTTATCCTAGAGAACTCCAGAGAAACCTGACACTCAGAGAGCCCTGTAGAAAACCAGAAAAAAAAAAAAAAAAAAAGGTGGAAATGGCATACAGAACACCAACAAACAGGGATCTAACTTGCAGGTAACAGGCTTGAGTTTCTGTCTCCATAAACAGCATCTGGCTACCTTCTCAAAGTTGACACTTCAGATGATGACCTCAAACTGAAGATTGCAGTGGGTGAGCCCAGTACATAAACATGTAAGTTCACAATTCAAATGTTCAGTGCTTCATACTAAAATATGAATAGACAAAGCAGGTTCACCAAAGACCTGAGAAGGCTAACAAGAAAGAGACAGTGCAAAATAAAGAAAGAGGACAAGGGACCACTCCTTGAGGAAAAAGACTCTTGGTAAAGAAGATAATATTCAAAAAGAACTCCTTCGTACATAGCGCTGAACTATTTTCTAAAATGGCTGTATGCACTGATAAGTCCCCAAAGAAGAGGAGAAGAATTTGTTTTGATCCAACTTCCTCTCCAGCACTCCCTAACAATGCTTTTTATTTTAGCCACTCTGATGCACTTGCTGAATGTCTGAATTAGCATTCTCCTGATTACTAATAAAGTTCATTTTTTCAGGTTTACTGGCCATTCAGACCTATACTTTTCTTGAAGCACTCCTGAAGTTTCTAGACTACTTTTTATTGTGTTAGTGTTTTCTTAAGTGATTTCTACTTTGTGGTTACAGGTGTACCAAATACCTTTTCCCATCCTGTGGCTTGCCTCCTATTTTGTTTTTTTTTTTTTTTAAGATTATTTATTTATTTAAGAGAAAGAGAGTGAGCGTGTGCACAGAGGGGGAGGGAGAAGACGACTCCCCACTGAGCAAAGAGCCTGATCCCAGCATCCCGAGACCATGACCAGAGCGGACGGCAGATGCTTAACTGCTTGAGCCACCCGGGCGCCCAGTGCCTCCTAGTTCTTTAATGGTGTTGTATAACTGAATTTAATTGGACTGAATTAATTTTCATGTAGCTCAAGTTATCAGTCTTCTCTTCATGGTCAGTGGGGTCTTTCCCTATCCCAAGATCATGAAAAGATATCGTTCTGTATTAACTTTTAGAAGCTTTACTATTCTTTCGCATTTATACCCACAGTATACCAGGAATTAATGTCTGTAATGGTACCGCTTTTTCCCTTTCCCTCACATGGACACCCAATTGTCCTAGCATATTTTACTGAAAAGACGATCCTTTTCCAATTACTCTATGGTGCCATTACTGTCATAAATAACACCTATATATGCTTGGGTCTATTTCTGAGTTCTCTATTTTATTACATTAATCTATTTGCTTATCCTTGCTTTAATATCACACTGAATTAATTATTGTAACTTTATAATAAAATCTTGATATGCAGTATACCAAGCTATTCTACCTTGCTCGTATCGTAGAATGTCTCATCTACTCATTCCCTTTGTTTCTGAACAGATTTTTAAACCAGCTGGTCAATTTCTGAAATAATACTGGTGGTTAATTTTAATTGAGATATTACAACAGAGGCTTCAAAACCACGAGCAGAGTGTAATTTCTTTATTTGATCAGGTCTGCTTTAATACCTATCAAGAATATAAGGCTTTTTTTTGTGACTTTATTCATTTTTGTTAGACTTATTCCTAGATATTTGGGGGTTCATTTTTGCTATTGTATGTACTTTTTAATTCATTTTTGTTTCTTGTATATGAACATGTAACTGAATGTTCTGTATTAATAAACCATATAACCAGCAGCCTGTTTCATCATTATTTCTCATAATTTTTCTGTAGGTACTTTTGGATTCTTTAGGTAAACAAACCTATTACTTGCAAATAATGACTGTTATATATCCTTTCTCCTTCCCAACCATATGGCACTGGCCAATACATCTCAAGTTCAAAGTCAAAGAAGAGTCCTTCACTTGTTCCAGATTTCAAAATTAAAGTTTTCAACAGCTGACCATAAAGCTTAAAGTAATCTGTAGACTTTCTGTAGGTATACTTTACCAGATTAAGTAAACTTCCCTTTATTCCTGAGTTTGCTAAAGTTTTTTTTTTTTTTAAATCATGAGTGGATATTTAAATTTATCACATTTCTTTATCATCTATTGAGACAACCATAATATTTCTCTTTAAAATCTGTTAGTGCAGTGGATTACAATCAACTATCAAATGTTAAACAACCTTATATTCCTAAAATAAACTCAAGTTAATCTTGATGCATCATCCTTTTCGTAAGTTATTACATTCAGTTTGCTAGCACTTTGATGATTTTTTTTTAAATTTACCTTCATAAATGGAATTGGCTTGTAATATTCCCTTCTCATAATATGCTTCCTGGGTTTTGGCATCAAGGTTATTCTGGCCTCAAAACGTGCCGAGATGCATTCCCTCTTTTGCTACTCTCTGGATGGGCTTGTAGAAGACATGTTATTTCTTCCTCAAATATTGAATAGCAATCAGTGGTGAAACAACCTGGGCCTAGACTTTTTCTCTGTGCAAGGTTTTTAATTATGGATTCAGTTCTTTAATTCAGATTTTCTAGCCTTTCATATGTCAATTTTGGTAACCTGTATTTACCTAGAAATATGTCCGTATTGTTTAAACTTTCAAATTTGTTGATGTAAAGCTTAAGTCTAATTTTCTTCTCAGTATCTACACAATCTGTTTGATGTCCCCTCTTTCATTCCTGACTGGTTATCTATGTCTTCCTTGTTCTTTATCAGTCTTCCAGTCTTTTCAAAAAATTTACTTCTGTTTTTGCTGACTGGGCTAGAATGACTTAAAAAAAATGGCCACAATTATCCATTAACCCCTCAAGATATCAAAGCCACTGCAGCGTCAACTTGTAGCTCATCTCCACCCTCGAATCTGGGCTGCAGCACTGTGACTTGCTTTTCCAGTACAACATAGTGGGAAGAATGACATTCGTGTGAAAAGCCTAAATTTCAGTCTTAGCTGCATTTACTCTCTTAGAACCCTATCATATCCCTGTAAACAAGCTCAGACTAACCTCCTGGAGAATGGAAGACAAGTGACCGAGTCACCATCAATGTCCCAGCCTATAGCCAGACAACTCATAAAAATAGAGGTGCCTCGCCGACCTACAGGGGACTACAGATGCAGACCAGAAGAACTACTTTGCTAAACCTGACCCAAAGGACCAACTAGTCTGCAGAAGAGAAGCAGAGGCTAAATAAAT